ATATCCACAAATATGCAATATTTCCTAAAATATGCACCAAGCTGCCAAAATATGCATTTTTCTTAGCTTATTTTAATTAAAAAACATTAGATATGTATAGAAAACTTACAATTTTGTTGACATACCTCTTAATGACAAACATGCATTTTGTATATAATCCGAGCCTTAGTAATGAGTCACTTTCCAACCTCTGTCAAAATATCTTACTAAAAGTGGTGTCGCAATTGGTTTAATTAATGTGATAGCTAGGTCTCCATTTAGATAAACAACAGGAGCTAAGGCAACAATTCTTTCGAGGTATTGACTCGCCAAATCTGGGTATTTTGAGGCAAACATGAAGGAAACAGTGGTGCCCATGGAATGGCCAACATAGACGGCTTTTTGCCCAGAATCGTTAAAAACAAATTCGAGTTGAGTTGGAATATCAACCGCTGCAATATCGTCCAAACTACAATTTTTATCGTAAAAACTGGTGTTTTTTTTTTCGAAAAAAAATTACTTATAATTCCAAAACTTTGCATCATGWGTGGTTAACTTGACGTGTTTGTTTGAATACGTCGACCCTCTGGTATTACCCAAATACACCGCCCAGCCCTTATCGGCGAAATAAAACGCTTGAAACACAAAATTAATCCCAATCAAAAACAAAGCAAAAAATACCAATCGATCGGTTCCCGATATCGACCCAAGGCCCCGAATTCGTCGCAACCCCATGCTGGATGAACATGGGTTTCATGGGTCCTTGGGCTTTCCTCGAGGTGATTTTATAGACTGTTAAAATATACCCATCACTGGTGGTCACACTGTTTGCCTTGATTTGATATCCGTGTCTTTGTGTCACCGTCATCTGGACGCAAAAGTCGTGATTTGGGCTCAAGAGTGGTAAAGTTACTTACGACGTTTGAGAGGACATCAGGATTGTGGTAACAGCGAGGGCTAACAGCTGCAACGTGATATTCGAGAAGTAAAGGACAAGCATTGTTTTGTAAGCTTAGGGAAAAAGCACAAGGGATGAAAAGAAAAATAAAAGAAGGTAAAAGTATGTAGTTCATGGTTGGAAGACACCAAAAGACTGATTTTTTGCCTGGCAATAAAGAATGTTTTTTGCAAATACAAAGATAAGACAATTTTACTTAAGTATGAATTGTAATTAAAATTTTTAAACCTTGAATACACGAAAATACATAGAGTGAGTCTAGTAAAATGTTTCATTTTTTATTTATTGTTTCAATAATTGTTGTGGCTAATGTTTAACAAAATTTCAGTAATACACACGGTATAACACAAATACTGTCTAATTAAAATTTATGTTTATACAACTTTTATTGTAATCTAAAGCGTCACAGACACTTTAATGATAACACGATATAAAATCTATAAATCTACCCACTTTGACTCTTAATTACAGTGTTTATTATTATTTTTTTATAATAATAGCATAATTATTTAATTTTGTAACAAAAAAGTGCATTCTACTGAATTCCACCAAGGTTAAAAGCATTTTTGATAGGTTGTAATAAAAGCAATATTTTTCGATAACAGTTTTCTAATGTGTTATGTATTGTATAAATTATTATTTAAGTATTTTTYGAATAGATACATCGTAAAAAAAACGTAAAGATTAAAGAATACATAGTAAATAAATATAAATTAAAAAAATAACTAATACTGTTGTATTTCTGGCTGCGTAGACACTTAAAACCGTAATAAATTACAATAAATAAAATACAAGGTGTTTCAATAAAATTATAGCAATTCGCCATAAAAATTCACTAAAAAATAATTCCACTGTAGAATATCTCTAAAGGAWATCCTACTGGTTAATTTGTTTCCTTTTTTTTTTTGATTTAGTAAGTGTGGCTAACCACAAAAACTATCATATCAGTTAGACAACTAAATTGAATATCCTCTTTTCTGGTAAGAAAAAAACAGTATTTTTCTTGATTTGCTTTATATCACATAAACGGAAATTTATGGTTTGTTGGAGAGATATGTACAGGGTGCGCCAGAACTCGCGCCACAGAGAAAAGTGCCATATAAGATAAGATACCAAGAACATGGAAAAAATGTTAAAAAAATTGTTTCTATAAAAATTTCGAAGTTATGAGGGTTTAAAGTTTGCACTTTGACTCTATTTATCTCTGTTGAAAAAATAATTTTCCAAGTTTTTTTGCTATAAGCTATTAAAAGAGGAAACAAGGCAGCTTTTATTGGCAAAATTTTTGTCTTTTTACTAAATAAAAAACATATACAAGATCATCATTACCATTAAAAAGATATAAAAAATGTCAAATATCAAAAAATAAATGTCAAAATTTTTTGACAGATAGAATTTTTTAAACATTTTRTTCATGTTCTTGGTATCTTACCTTACTTAGAAATTTTCTATAGGACGCGAGTTCTGGCTCACCKTGTATWGAGCGGATTTGTATTTAAATTCACCKYAATGTGATTAATTTTTATTTACAGTTTGATCARTCTACATWATGCAACWACAAATAAAAAAATGAAATAATATTTACGAATTTAACAAATTTGTCACTTYGTAAGTTAAAGTTTTAGAACAAGACGACCTAAATATGGGTAAGTTAAAATTTTGTTTATCTTATTACGTAAAATTTGTTTTTTTACATCCAATAAAAGTTTGCTTAAATCAGTATTTTGAACTTTTGGTTTGATTTGAATCATCTTCTCCAAATCACTCTGTATTTGTAAAATGAAGTAACTTTTTGCGTAAAATAATCGAATTAGCATAAATTTTATGTAAGTGGGTGGCAATAATCTTTGTAAAAATTATGTATCATTTAATTTGAAGCATATAAACATAATTTTGGCTAATTTTCTCTACATACAACTAAAAGTCACAAAAACGTATTGTGTCAGCTGTCCAAAATATATCTCAATAGTTCACGAATATATACAGGGTGCGCCAAAACTCCCGCCCCAGAGAAAAATTTCAAGTACCAGGAACATGGAAAAAATGTTTAAAAAATTCGCTGTCAAAAAAATTGTGACATTTGACATTTTTTATGTCTATTTAATGATACTGATGATCTTGTACATGTTTTTTTACAATTATTTAGTAAAGGTACAAAAATTTTGCCAATAAAATCCACAAATAACATTGAACAGAGTTACAATTTAGGCTACAGCTTCCTTGTTTCCGCTTCTAATTATTTTCCCAACAGAAATAAATAGAGTCAAAGTGCAAATTTTAAACTCTCATAACTTAACGAATTTTTATAGATGTTTTTTTTAACATTTTTTCCATGTTTCTGGTATCTTACCTTTCTCTGGGACGCTTGTTCTGGCGCACCCTGTGCTTTTGTAACCTAAAGAAAAAAAAAACAAAAAAAATCAATCAATAAATTTTATTTTTGAAACTACAACCAAACAACATTATTCTGGTAAATCCCCTTTATCTAAAATCTCCTCCATGTTCTCGTAAAACAATTCGATCACATCTTCTGAGTAGAAAAAATCAATATGGTTGAAAGGCTTTCCGACATTAGACCCAGTCGCAAATGCCGTTTTTTCCTCACTTCCAATCTCATTAAACAATCTTTCRAAATTCTTCTTCTTGTAAAAACGGTCATTTTCACCATAAAACAAATGCACCGGCAATCTTAAATTTTTGAGTGYATAAGTTGGCGGCTTGGGAGACCCATATATTTGATTATTTTTAATCAAACCGAAATCGTACATCTGGAATTTTTTACTACTCGCGATTTGAAAATACTGTTTCAATTGAAAAATCGAGATGCCACTTGGAAAATAACTGAAGAGCAACAAGAAATCTTCCTAAAATTAAAACAAAACAGTTAATATCTGCTTAAGAAAGRTGAGACAATCAAGATCGACTGGCATTTGCAACCTAGCAACATTGTTGCTTAATTGTTTTCAGCAACTGAAACTCACGTCTGAAATCTGAGTAGTTTTACCAAAAGTTATATCTAGGAATAGTCTGCAGACAAGAGGAGCGTTATAAGAAAATTTGACCAAAATTGTGTGGATTAAAGTCTCATGGTAGAATATCCCCCAAATCCGAAATAAGTCCAAAATATCCTAAAAGTAGTATATTACATATCGAGGTGGAAAGTGTCTCAATTCTGGCGAAAGGATTGTTAATTTTATCCCAAAAGGTCAGTAATGAGTCACTTTCCAACCTCCGTCAAAATCAGAAATGTCAACCTTACATACAGAGTGTCCCAGAGCTCCGTATTTCTTCTATTACTTTGACAGTAAAGAAGATAACAAAATGAGGTTTGTTTTGGACGACAGACATTCATTTTTTCTATGGCCCAAAAATATTTTCGTCATTATAGGTAATTCCTATATAGGGTGCCGCAACAAAGTTATATTTTTTCWTATYAAACACCCGGTATATTATGCGCTTATTTGAAAGAGTTTTTAATTCTAAGAATATCCATATTAGGTTTTATGGGTCTTTATGAGCAATTTTATGAAAAAAAGTACCATTTTTGAAAAATTACTACGGTTTTGCTAGAAAGAAAAAGTGAACAAAAACAATTGCAAAAACAATTGAAACACTCTGTATGTTATTACTTTATCGTGTAGAGCTTTTAATAAGCTTTCTAAAAAAACAAAAACATTGAAAATTGATTTTTTTGTTGCTACCGTTTCCAATAATTGAATATTACTTGGACATTTCCTGTATCCTAGGATATTTGCAATGTTGCAAC